AGAGGAGTGAAGGTACTGGAGATTTTCATAAGGTATAATGAGTGTGTTTCTGTTGACTATAGGTTCATAAACCCAAAACTTGGTGGCTTAAAACAGTAATGATTTATGATTTCTCAAGATTCTGAGGGTTGGCTGGTGATTCCACTGCTGGTTTCACCTGGGCTCATTCATAAACTGCATTCAGCTGTAGGGTTGGCCGAGCTGGAAGGTCCAAGATGGCTTTGCATTATCTGGCACGTAGTGACAGCCATTGGCAGGGCTGCCTCAGTGGTTTTCAATGTGAATTCTCATCCCCTGCTGGGCTAGGCCAGTTTCCTTACATGGCGGGCTTGTGGCAGCATTCCAACAGCAAGAAGGTAGAACTGCAGGGTCTCTGGAGACCTAGACTCTAGACCTCACACAGCATCACCTCCACTGAATGCTTTTGGGCCAAGCAGTCAGAAGCTTAGCATTAATTCGAGGAAGGGAAATAGATTTCACCTCCTAATGGGAGTTGCTGCCGTGGCCTTATTTCATCCAGCACAGGCTGTACAGGTAGGAGTTTTTGTTCTGAGAGTGGAATTTTGAAATTTGGGATTTCAGAAGTAAAATGTTTCTGGATGACAACAATATCCAGCACGTGTCCAAAAGGAGATGGATGGCTCAAGTAGAATGTGGCACTGGCACTGAAGGAGAGAAGAAATGGTGAGGCTAGGATTTGGGCTGCACCATCCTGTAGGCCCAAGAACACTGTGTGGGCAGGGAGTGTGGAGGAGTGACATGAAGTCCAGGAGATGACAGCAATAATAGCGGGCAGGTATGAGATGATCAGACCAGATGGGGTGATTCTGTAGACCATGAAGAGCATGATCACGCTTTTCTAGGTCAGCCTTGTGAGTGGTGGGGACCAGAACTACTCCACCATGCCTTTAACTTCCCCACCTGCACGGTCTTGTTTATTTAACAGTTTTTCAAATAAACTTGTCCCTTCTGATTTCTGAATACTGTGCAAGTGGATTCATCAGGTATTGGTGAAAATATGAAATAACGTTCAAGTCAGTTTTGAGTAAGATGACAGAACTGCCATGGTAGCAGATTACCAGTGTCCATTCTTTCAAGCTTTTCTTTTTTTTTCTACCTTCCTTGTCTCCTCAGGTATGTATCTAAGTATGAGAGGGTCTCCACATCGATCAGCAGGATTTATAGTGGTAACATTTATTAATAGTGTTAAATGAATAATACTTATTACTCTCATTCTAGGTAAATAAAAATCAGAAACCAGACAGTCATTATCCAGATGGTCCTAAGAGTACACTCAACCATCAGCATCAGAATGCTAGATATGAATAAATTAGAGCCTGTAACAAGTGGAGAAGGATAAAATTGCATATTTTTATAATTACTACCATAATTTAATGTTTCTGTGTTTATGTGTAACAAATGAACAAATGATTTACAACAATGCAACTGTAGCATGAGTTTCCATCCTTAGCTGTGACTTCACATTCTTAAAATGCTTTTTAGAATACCACAAGAGATATTTTTATTCCAAATAAAAGATTTTCAGTATTTGGAAATTCAGTGAATGCTTCCTGGAAATTCCATATCTGCAGCAAGTGATCTGGGCCATGAATATTTAACTCTGCCCGGCCTTTTATTTTCCCTTACATATTATCCATTTTGCACAAGGGTCAGCACCTTTGGCAGTCACTTTGGTCTCGAGCAGACTGTTAGGGATTAGAGGACCCACGGATGTTATTCTCACCTTTGACACAGAAATTCTTCTTAGGACTACTCATTAAATGTATCTAAAAATAAGTGAAGTAATGATAGTTTTTGTAATCATAGCCTTAATACGAAACTAGAAGGGCTTCTGTTACTCTCGAAGTCATCTTCAGTGAAAGCGACATAGCCATTTCATCAGTGCTGCTATGATTCAACTTATTTGGGGGATTCCTTCTTGGGGGCTGCTAGCAGGGCTAGTTTGCAAGCCTACCAGAAAATCAATTCTGTATTATTAGTGTCCTATTCTCTGTTTTTACCAAGTCTAAACATTCTCCCAAATTTTAGGGATTGGCTCTATGTGACATTTATCTATCAATAAATAAATAAATAAATAAATAAATAAAATTCACCCTTAAAAGAGTAAGGTTTCCCACCACTGAGGACATTTAAAGTAATGAACTTCCATTTCCAAAGTTGTGAGACTCCAACTAGAATCTGTTTTTCTGATTCCGGCTACTACCCCATGCTAATGTAACCAGAAACTTCTCAAAGGGTGTTAAGTATTACCATTTTTATTCTGGAATTTAGAAATGCCTCAGGCAAGCATTTTTAACACAGCTTTCCGACTCTATTATCTTTTCATTAACTGTGACCTCTTCCCCGCCCTCTCCACACCCAAAACTTTTTCTGTCTTCTTTGCTTAAGATCAGCTACACCACGTCTTGTTTCTGTGTTCTTTCATTTTCAGTGAGTTACTGTTTGGTTAATTCTTCCAAGTTGTATCCTTTTTATAGAACTTTGTTATTATTAGGTTTATGAGTTTGCATCTAATTGTGACCTTCCACCTGACTCAGTTTTGTCATCTGAATGCATTTGTCTTCAGTATCATGATTATAATTTTTGAAACCATCAGCGTGTCAGATACTGCACTGAGGACTTAATTCATCAGTTCACATAATCCTCACAACAACCTTAGGAGATGAGTATTATTATGATTCCCACTTAACAGATGAGGAGACTGAGGTTCAGAAAGTACAAACAACTTGCCCAAAGTCCAATGACTGGAAAAGGGGGGAGCTAGGATTCAAACTCACATCCTTCTAAGGCAAGGTTTCACAACCGCAGCCCTGTAACATTTGGGGCTGGGTAATTCTTTGTTGTGGGACATTGTCCTGTGCATTGCAAAATGTTTAGCAGCAGCATCTCTGATCTTCTACCCACTAGAAGCAGAACTCCCTCCACTAACTGACAACCAGACATGTCTCCAGATACTGCAGAGTGTTCCCTGGGATTTGTTTAGGACCCGCCAATCTAACACCAAATTCATGCTTTTGCTATGTTACACTGTTAGACGGGTAACTAAGAAAACCATAGAAGTTTAAAACTAAATTTGCAAGAAATCAATTTTAGGAGTCACCATGCCTGGTTGATCATCAGAATTGGAGATTTTTAAAGACTCCTTTTCCCCACCCAGGATGTTCAGGATAAGTATTTGTCAGGCGGACAGGTATCTGACTGTTTTAAGCCTCTCCACGGTGTAGGAATTACAGATCCAATCCTAACCTAAGCACACATCTGTTCCTTGAATCACTCTACTCCATTCCTGCCAAATTGTTCTCCAGCCTCAGCTTTAACACGTCTTGTGATGGCGTTACAGTCGACAGTTCCATACCCTTCACTTTCTGAGACAGCCCATGTTCCAATAGTCGTAACTGTGAAAAATAATTCTTCTTAATATTCTTTCTCTATATCCCTGTCAATGCCCTTAATCTCATGTTATCCAAGTTATTGTTTTTCTCAAATCAGATGAATTAAACAAACACTTGAGTCCCAATTATGTATTAGGCTTTACTCTGAACAGTTTCTTTACCATAGCCATTAAAATCTTTACTGACTCCTTAAAAATGACTGTCCACCCACTTTTTTCAGTTTAACAATGGACTTCCATTGCTTGTCAGCCTTTTGACTAAGATCAAGTGTAGTATCTGTTCTTATTACAATAGACTCCCTCAAAAAGGCAATTATAATTAATTACAATATTAAACTCATACATGGCTGGCCTTCTACCCAGCTGCTACTGGTAAGCAGTCTGCACCCCGTTTGTGAAGGGTCCTGTCCCTGGGGAGACCAAGCTGGCAGGTGCTTTTTTTCTTCCTCTTGGCCTCTCATCAGCAACCCTGTTTAAACCTTCTTGGATGATTTCAGGAAGATTCCAAAGTAACTCTCCTGGTAAAATTATTCTTTGCCATATGTTCCAGATTTCTTGATGAAAACACGGAAGATAATTTTTTTGAATCTTATTATGGGCCCTCTTAAGAATATCTTTTTTGTGGCTGGGCACGGTGGCTCACGCCTGTAATCCCAGCATTTTGGGAGGCCAAGGTGGGGAGATCACTTGAGATAAGGAGTTTGAGACCAGCTTGGTCAACATGGCAAAACCCCATCTCTACTAAAAATATAAAAAGTAGCCGGGCATGGCGGTGGGCACCTGTGATCCCAGCTACTCAGGAGGCTGCGGTAGGCGAATCGCTTGAACCCAAGAGGCAGAGGTTGCAGTGAGTGGGGATTGCACCACTGTGCTCTAACCTGGGCGATGGAGTGAGATTCCTTATCTCTCTCTCTCTCTGTCTCTCTCTCTCTCTCTCTATATATATATATATATATTTATGAATTATGAATTTGTTAATACAAATAAGTATGTTAATTTGATTAAATTTAGACTTACAGTTTACTCTTCTTTGACGTCAGGTAGTCTTTCAGCCTGCACTTTTGATTATTCTCTATGTCCCCATAACAGTTTTGAACCTATAGAAAACTGCTTTTCAACAACAGATATTGGCTAATGGGCAATATTGTGATGAAGTAGATGCTAGCATTGCCAAGGCTGCCTATTGCCCCAGTGTTGATGTTTAGCCCTACAGGTGACCGGACTTGCTAGCAGGCCAACATGAGTAGCCAGTTGGCTATAAATGTGTGCCAGCTGTCCCGACAGTGGCTGAATGGAGCTCCAGTAGGCAGGTTGTGTTTAGAGAAAACCAAGAAGAAAATAACATGTTAACGGGAATAAACCGTTTGGGGTCAAAATAACAGTCCCATGTTTTTGTACTTGTGTGAGATATAAAAAGAAAACTTGAGTGTCAATTAGGCTTAGTATGAACTTCCAAACATTCTTGCCCATGCTTGTGCACCTCCAAGGAAGTGGCTGGACGAAGGCAGAACTCCCTGAACCTCTCACGTCTTCGATTGCTTTGGAAAGCCTTGGTGTCCTTACTGCGGTGTTCACTCTCTCCTTACAGAGTTTTATAAATGGACGCTGACATGGACTACGAAAGACCCAACGTTGAAACCATCAAGTGTGTGGTCGTGGGTGACAATGCCGTGGGAAAGACGCGCTTGATCTGTGCCAGGGCATGCAATACCACACTCACGCAGTATCAGCTGCTGGCCACCCACGTGCCAACCGTGTGGGCGATTGACCAGTACCGCGTGTGCCAGGAGGTAAGATGCACAGAGTGTCTTTAGCATCCCTAGGGCGCATCATTGCTGGTTACCAGTCTGATTTTTTCAAGGAGGAGCATGGGTAAATTGCACATTCAAAACTAAACTAACCTTTTTAGTGCCACAAAAGTAAAATGCAAACCGGAGACTATGGCTCTGGGTATCCTGAATGAGGGTTGAGACAGGTGGTTCCAAAAAGGGAATTAAGACTTAGCTTAAATCCCATTAGATAGAATAAGGAAACTTAATGCAAGTGAATTGAGGGGCACTGAAGGTGCTGACTTGAACACGCTTCTCCTGGGGAACTTCTTACTGACACTGAGCACAGATGCTGTCTCTCTCTCCTGCAGGTCTTGGAGCGTTCTCGGGATGTTGTTGATGAAGTGAGTGTTTCTCTCAGGCTTTGGGATACTTTTGGTGATCATCACAAAGACAGACGCTTTGCATATGGCAGGTAAACCAAGACTAGTACAGTGTGGTTGAGCTTGAGTGCAATTTCCTTTTCAAAACCAGCAGCTGGTTCACAAATCAACAAAAACCACATCATATGGCCTTGAAATGTGTTGGGTTCTGCACTGTGTCTAAGAAAAGAAAAAAGAAAAAAAAAATAGTATTGTTTCCTGATGTCAAGAAAAGCAGCATGCCCTGCCAATGAGGAAGTACTGTGTTGAAAACAAGCAGTGGTCAAGCTGGAAGGTTGGCTAGATGAGGATTCTGTAACACCCTCCAACTGCAGGCTGCTTTGATTGCTGGTTCTCTGTGTAACACTTCACTTGCCTTCTGTTAGAATGTTTTATGTTATTTTGGCACTCGGTCACCCTACTTCAGAAGGACTCTTTGGTCTTTTCATGACCATATTGGCAGAGTCTAATGTTATTTGCTTTGGGTTTTGTGTTATCTGAAAAGTCTGTTATTTTTATTAGAAGGTCATTTTTAAAAAAGAAAGAAAAACATCTCTGAAGTCCTTTGCAAGACATACTTCCAAAATGAACGGAAACACTAATGTTTATTTTTTATTTTTAAAAAAAGGAGAAAAAATCTAGTAATGGGAAAACTCCTCTAGAAGGACATTAATATGGGTAGGAACATGGTCAAAGTGCCTTAAAATATTTAGCAACCTCTGCTTGCCACCATAACTTAACGTTTCTCTCAGTGAAAGGGTTATAGCTATTAAAATCTGGATTAGTGGAGACTTTTTTTTTGCCACTTAATTATAAATGAACACATTTCATTTTAAGTGTGGAATGTAGATATCATGGCCTTGTTGTCTCTTCTTAACATTAAACATCATGTTACCTTACAGGATTTTATTAGTTAGGAACTCCAAGCACATGAATTACTCCTTGGTATCAAGATAAGCATTTCTGAAGATTCTTCTATTTGTCCAAGCCAGTAGCTCTCTGAACAGACTTTTATTGTCATTTATCTAAGTGGCCTAAAATAATGAATAAACTGCTGAAAGAGTTTGCCCTATTCCTAGGAATTATTTCACACACTGAAAGAATCTGTGACTTAGACCACTTTTTTCAAGGGGACTCAGAAAGAGAGATATGGAAGCAAAACACGGTTTTAATGTCCGCTTGGTAACAAGGACTTTTGAACTTAATATCCGACATCATAGATAGTTTTCTTTTCCTTGAATTTCCTGGATTTTTTTTTTCTTCCTGTAATGTTCTTGATTGTTATCTTAGTTGCCGTTTTGCTTTTTTCTTTTGTCCAATTGTTCTACGTGTAAAAATAACAATTATAAATGAACCTGCTTGTAACTGCTGGGCAGTCAGGTTTGTAACCCCTGTGGTTTTGAGGAAGCTTGATTTGATGACTTTAGGCAGTGTAAGGATAAATACAATAGATTTCAAAGGACTTTTTTATATCCCCACTTCTAAAACGGTGTTGTGAAAATGATGAGCCTGATGATGAGTTAATGGAAATATTTGGGTTTAGACTCTAGAAACTATTTCAACAGCTCAGTGATTTGTTGCCACTAGAAATGTATGCATTTGTCAATACCTGTGAAAAAAAAATACCACGGAAAAAAAGAGAAAACAACAACAATGAAATATATTCATTTCAAACAATGAATTTTAACATGACCCCTCAGCGTAAAGCTGGTGCGGTGGTAATAAAAGGGCTGCTTCATTATCTTGTGAGATTCCTGCATAGCGTTTATTTAATGGCACAATGGCCTTCGTAGATCCACACTGGGCCCTGTCCAGCTACCTGACATAGCTGGAGTCATTTTACAATACAACATGCCATACCTGCGTGTGTGTTCCCTCCCAACAAAAATAAGCTGCTCTTTCCTGTGACTCCATCAGTTCAAAGTGCTTTGTTCTGCTCCCTTGTCTGTAACATTTGGTTCTGTCAACTGTAACCCATTATCCCTTTGGTAGAAACAGGAAGTGCTCCCCCAAGCCAACTTTGATTCTCTGAGGAACATAGAGGGGCTTCAGGAACACTCCCGTGTTTCTGGCCACGTTCTCCTTGGGGCCTCACTTTGTGTGCATGTTTGTACCTTGTATTTCCTCTGTCTTTTCCAATTCCTCACAGCCTCCAGGTGTCTTGACACAGACCCCACCTCTAGTTAAAGAACAAAAACCAGAGCTCCTCTCTCTTGCACTCCAGCATCTCTCTGTAAATGCTAAATATGTAAGATCACATTGACGTAATGCCAAAAAAAAATTATATTTTTATGGAAAAACCTGAGAGAAGTAGTTCTTTTATTCACTCTAGGTCCCTGACCAGTACATTTCCCTGCTCTGAGAGAGCTGTTTAATTTCTTAATGACTTCAAGTTTTACCTTTATATCATTCGTGAAGGCGAGGAATCATAATTATAGCTTCTGACAATGTTTGTTTTGCAAACCTGTTTTGTGACTGACATTTTTACTATACTTAGTGAGAATTACAATTCAGTGGGATGTACTCAGACATAAACTTTGAGGCATGTGAAATACGTTCCCTATACTTGGAAATGTATTTGAAACCTTTTTAGAATAATTAATTTGATTCTTGTGGTGACAGTGAGAGAAGCCAGATTTAAACCAACATGTCTTAGACCTTGCCTTCAGTTTCCTCTGCTTCATAGCAAAAGATAGTTAATAAGTTGCCCCTCAAACATTCTTTGGCATGGACAAGCTATAGTTTGCAGAGAGGATTCTGTGGGATGAGGAGTTGTCAGTGGTAGGCAGTTGGCCAACTTGAATTTGCAATGTTCCTGATGTGGTATAACCACAGTGTTATTGCTCTCTTATGATTTAAATGGAACTATTCTATCCATTTTTTGCCAATTAGAATAAAATCTTCAATTTATCAAAAACCTGCTGTGTGCCAGTCAACACATTAGGTGCTTTGCCAACATTAGTTAATCCTTTCAGGAACTATAGGAGGCAGAGGTGATCTTGGTGCTACCATTGAGTAAAGGGTTGAGTTCTTTTACTACCATAAATTTTCCCAACAACTGAGTCTCAGAGGCAGATTCAAAGTCACTCTGCCTGACTCCTGGCTCTCACTCTTTCCACTGTGCCAAGCTACCTCAACCTACTGGGACCCTACATTGGTGAACTGGATTTCTATTTGCTCTTTTGGATTTGTGCAAAGATTGGAACTAGAAGAGATTTCAAAAGGTCATCTGGTTGACCCCATGTCTTCAGGAAGGGAAATCATCCATCTATCCAAAAAGAAGTATGGATAGGAGCCCTTCTATTCCATGGAGATGAAAGAAACAGAGTAGCATGAGCATTGTAATGCTCTGCACTTTGAAAACTGTCGACCCTCTCTTCTCTGGAGTGAATAACTCCAGCTCTCTTATGGCCTTTTTCCCACCACCTACTTTATATCCACTTTTGGATGAACTTTTGAAGCTCTTTTCTGGATCTTTTAAAATGTCAGGAACAAAACCGTACATAGTAACCGCGACTTCGATCAGCTGCTCGTTTTTGGCAAGGAAAGCTCCTCTTCTTAAAGGGATGTCGCTCAACTCAAGAGTTGTCTCCTGGAGCTCTTATGAGAATGAAATGTCCACATTTAGGGACTTAGCACTGAAAATATAGACAAACAGGATGGGCTCTGCCTTTATCAGGAATCTGGCCCTTCTGTCCCTGTATTAGTCAGTTCTCACACTGGTAATAAAGATGTATTTGAAACTAGGTAATTTATAAAGAAAAAGAGGTTTAATGGACTCACAGGTCCATGTGGCTGGGGAGGCCTCACAATCATGGCAGAAGGCAAAGGAGGAGCAAAGTCACATCTTACATGGTGGCAGGCAAGAGAGAGAGCATGTGCAGGGGAACTGCCCTTTATGAAACCATCAGATCTCATGATACTTATTCACTATCATGAGAATAGCATGAGAAAGACCTGCCCTCATGATTCAGTTACCTCCCACTGGGTCCCTCCCATGACATGTGAGAATTATGGGAGCTACAGTTCGAGATTTGGGTGGGGACACAGCCAAACCATATCACTCCCTTTTGTCTAGTCACGCACAGGTAGGTAATCACAGATTCTATTGGGTTTTTTTTCCCCCTATAAAATTTCCTTCATTGATCTGCCTGCAGGTCAGAGAACCTCCAGACACTGAATAAAGCCTATGTTGCTGACAGTGATAACAATAAGTACAGTTTAATCAGGGCGCCCCATGTGCCAGCCCTGTGCTACGTGCTGCACGTGTCCTGTCCTGCTTCATTCTTGTGGCGAGTCTGCAAAATAGACTCATTTCACAGTTGGAGAAACAGGCACAAAAAAGGACCAAGGTCAGAGAGCCTGGACAGAGTGGAGCTGGACTTTCCTCTTGAGTCTGTCTGACTCCAAAGCCCACATCTTCCCCATCCACTATGCTGTTGTAGCTGGTGATAATGATGGATGACAAAATTACTTGAAATTTCCTCCTGGTACAGTCTGAATCTTACACAGTCCCATGTGGACCCTGAAGACCAGCACTCACAATCTATTACCAGCTCTGATATTCCAGTGTTCCTCTTATATTCTTTATTCCACAGCAAAGAACTTAATTCTTTATATGCATCCCTAACTAGCTGAGCATGAGTCCTTTTGTTTTCGGTAAAAATGATACATCCAAGCAAACTTTCTGAGAGTGAATGGGAATCTTGGCATGTTTTCCCCAAATCATTTAACTAAAACATTCAGTAAGTACTTCCCCTTATCCCCAGCAATTTCTGGGCATATTTTCAGTCCAGTTGGAACCCATTTATTATATAGCTTATTCTTACACACTGATTTTTCTCAAACGTTGTTAGTTCCTATGAGAAGTAAAGTACATGTTTTAAATCAGAACTATGGTTTCTGGGTGTCTAGTTTCATGATGAAGGTACTTGTAATCAGACACGAATGAACACACCCCATTCTCAATGCACTGTTGAGGCCCTTTAAAAAATTCAGGACTCTAGTGACTGGTGTTTGTATCTTTGCCTGGGATTGGTTGTGCTTGTGTTTT